GGACCCGAGGCGGACGGAGGGGGATGCACCGCGATGGGCCTGGGTCCCGCGAGCCCTGGACCCCGCCCAGCTCCAGCCTGGGAGGAGGGGTCTGGACCAGCTGCTCTCCCCCAATCCAACCGGAAGTCTTCCTACCCGACCCGGAAGATAGCCAGGGGGTGTGGGGCACTACCTGGGCTCTTTGGGGCCCGGGGAGAAGGGGGATTGAGGAGCAGAACACCCCCACAGGGCAGGGCTTTAGAGGGTCTCTGGAGTCTTCCCCTGGGATGTCCCCAACGCAGGATCCAAAGTTACCGGGGTCAAAGTATGCTGATAATGCCAGGTAATCTGGAGATTGCCACATACAGGCCCTATCTGACTGCCCTGGGCTTGTTGGCTCAGACCTGGGACTTGATTCTGTCCCTTGCCTCACTTTCCCGTAGTGCCATCAAGCCCCAAACCCAGCCTAACTCAAGTTGGCCCCTGGGTGCATGTGGATGGGTTGTTGGCTTCATCTGCCTCCACCTCCCACCCGCTGGGACCCAGGGTGAAGCTGAGTCCTCTCTGGGAGTCTCCATTTCCTCACCTGTCTCACGGGCACAGCTGAGGGATAGGAGTTCTGTGCAGATGAGGCTCACCGGACCTGGTTTCTGTCATCGACCTGTGGGTGGAAGGGGTTAGAATAGGGGCTCTTAAGGGGTAGTGGGGTGTCCAGAGAGATGGGGCCTAGAGAGCCTTGTCTTGTGACTCTGGACAGATTTCCCACATTCTCTGGGCCTCACTTTGCCCACCTGTGTTATGGGCTGCCCACAGACACTTGGATGTTATCTGTGAAACTGGTTGACCCTACCTTATCAGGTTGGTGGAGGCAGATGTCCCAGGGGCGGGTGGAGTCATGAAGGCACTTGAACTTTAGCCAGGAGGAGTCTTAAAGAGTGAGGTGCGCTAAACCAAGCACTGGAGACCTTCTGGCAGGTGTGGGTGCTAGCGCTGGCCATAGGGGGGCTTGTCCTTGTTGAGTTACTGGCCGAGGAAATGAAATTAAAAGCAAGTCAGCCGTCAAAAGGGGTGGGCAGATGTTCCCTGGACTTGGCCCAAGTAGGGCAAATATCCTATTTTGGGGGAGTCAAAGAGAGTTTCCTGGAGGAGAGGGCCCATGTACATGGTTTGCAAAGGATGCAGGAGGGTTCCAGGCAGGACCTATAGACAAGCACTTGGTGGTGGAAAAGCACACTTCCAGGGACAGATGGCACTTCAGCCACGTGACCACCCAGGGTCTGCCCTCACCCACCAGGATGGACAGGACCTCCTGACATGGCTTCCCCCTCCACAGCCCCCTGGGGGTGGCTTTGATGAGCGCCCTGATCCTGGCACTGCTCTTCGTGGCTATCTACAGTCTGTCCTACGGGGAGATCTCCTACGACCCTCTCTACACAGGTGAGTCCGTGGGGAAGGGGGATTGTCCCACCAAGGGCCTCCATCCTCTACCTTCAGGCTGGGGTGGGCACCTGCAGAACCACCCCTGCTATATTGGAGACCTTCAACACTTTTCCCCCTTCATCCTGCGAGTCCCTGAAAAACTATGCCCGCCCATCACTCTGGGCTCCCCTGATGTCAAGGATGGCACTGCTCCCATCAGTCCTGAGACACCCCCCCCCCAAAAGCAGGGACTATTCCTCTTCCCTCAGGCAAGCAGGGTCCCATCTGTGGGCCCTGTGACCTGTGAAGTGGGGACAGGGAGCAGTGGGGCCTGGAGGCCTAGCCTCAGATCTTCCTCCTTGACTGGCAGCTTCCTGCCCTGGCCACACCCATTCCAGAGTCTTGTCCATGCATGGTTGGAGCCATGCTCACACCCACCTCTGAAACCCTTCCAGACCCGGACCTGATCCAGCCCTCCTGCACCCCACCCTAGTCACCTAATGGTGGGGGTTTTCCCTTTCCAGAACCCCTCATAGTCCTGGTCTGCCCAGCCTAGGCCCCTCCACACAACTGGCCAAGCCCCTGCCGTGTCTTGAGTTCTGCCATGCTGGCTGCAGCCCCTCCCACACCAGGCCGCGCACCACCCCTGCTCATCCTTCACCTTAGACCTGCCCACCCTCCCACAGTGTTCGCTGTCTTCGCCTTCACCTCAGTGGTGGATCTTACCATCTCGCTCCAGGAAGATGGCTACGTGGTGGGCTTCATGGAATTCTACACCAAGGAGGTATATGTGGGGGCAAGGGTGAACGGCTCTTGTCCCCTCACCCCACACCCACCTGAGTCCCCTCCTCACCCCCACAGGGGGAGCCCTACCTGCGCACAGCCCACGGCATCTTCATCTGCTACTGGGATGGCACCGTTCACTACCTCCTCTACCTGGCCATGGCCGGCGCCATCTGCAGAAGGTTGGTGGGGCACCGCGAGGGAAGAAGAGTCCGCAGGGGAGTGGGTCTTGGGCCAGGCTGGAGCCAGGAATGTCTGCAGGGGCTCCAGCCTGGGGAGGGGCTGAGGTGGCTGAAAGAAGCCTCCAGGGACTGTTGTTAAGTACCTCGGTGGCACCTGTGACTGGTCGTGTGTCCCCTGTCTCACACACACACACACACTCGTCCTCCTGTCATCCCTTCCTTCCATCCTGGGCCCAGTTGGACCCTGGGGTGACTGTGAGGCCACAGGGTAGGTCCTTGGTGGTCACTCTGTGATCCCCCACCAGGAAGAGGTACCGGAACCTTGGACTATACTGGCTGGGCTCCTTCGTCATGAGCATCCTGGTGTTCCTCCCGGGCAACATCCTCGGTGAGGACTTGGCATGGGGGAATGCCCCCCTCTGGGCATGGTCACATCCTGTGCTTCGGAGTCCCCCATCTGATCCTCCTCCCCTGCTCAGGGTACACAGAGGCCTCTCCTCTCTGCTGCCTGTTCACCCCCATCCACAGCCTGCCCCCACCCCCCAAGCCTTCTTCAGTTCTTCTTGTGGGAAGAGAGATCCTGAGTCCACTTCTTCCCTCAATTCTTGACTCCTGACCCCAGAAGTTTGGCCCCAAGCACTCTTGACTTGAGAGGGACATTCTAGAGTGGCTCCTAGGGGGCACAGTGAGAGCTTTGTGGGAGGGACAAGTGGGGCAGGTCACCTGGGGTGTGGGGACAGTACGGGCAAAGCCCGGGCTGTGGAAAGAAAGGCAGGCAGACTCGGAGGGAGTGGTCAGAGCAACAACAGGTGCAATATGGAATAGGTGGACCCAGTCAGACTTCCCAGGGCTGAGTCAGTTCCAGAAGGAGCTAAAGCCCACAGGTGGAGGTCACAAGGACTCTCTAATGGATGACTTCATGGGCACTGGGGAGCTACGGACGGTATTAGAGTGCAAACAAGTGAATCAAGACACCCAGGCTGGGGCTCTGCTGTGACCTGGCTAATGGGCCCAGGCAGGCCTTGAAGATCTGAACTAAGATCTTCAACCTTCCCCAATCTGGGCAGGCAAATACAGCTCAGAGATCAGGCCCGCCTTCTTCCTCACCATCCCCTACATGCTGGTCCCATGCTGGGCTGGCATGAAGATCTTCAGCCAGTCCCAGGCGCCCACCTGCTGCAGTCCCAACATGGTGAGTGTCGGAATGTCCTCCATTTGGGCTCCCCTGGGCACCTTGTCCTCAAAATGCCTACCATCCCCTGTCTGAGTTCTTTCTGGAACGGCTTTGTTGGCAGGAAGAAAGGAATGAGCTATTCACCCTGTCTCTCACCCCCGGGCCAGGTGCAGGAGGAACAGAGAAAGGGCCTCTGGCAGCGCCCGACAGACCTGGCCCTCATCGTGTACCTCATCCTGGCCAGCCTCTTCACCCTCTTTCGGGGCCTGGTGAGTCCCAGCTGGTCATCGTGTTCCTCCCTCGAGTGCAAAGAGACCATCGCTCTCTCATCTGATCACCCAGGAAAGTTCTTCGTCAAGTCTGACCTGAGTATTGCGTGGCAAAGACCTTGTCCTCTTGCCTTGACCAGAGTGCCAGTGTCTCTGGGTTCCCACCTAGGGAGAAAGACCCAGGGCGAGGGGAGGGGGGGCGGGGGCCAGAGCAAGGAGTATAGGCACCACTTGCGGGGAAGAGGTTTCCCTTGGAGGCCGGTTGTGATGGGTGGGATTCTGTCTGTCTGCCTCAGGTGGTGCTGGACTGCCCCACAGACACCTGCTTTGTCTACATCTACCAGTATGAGCCCTACCTGCGGGACCCTGTGGCCTATCCAAAGGTGCAGGTGAGAAGGTGGGATGGGAGGAGAGCTGGCCTCCTGTGGGAAGGGCCACCCTGACCGTCTTTGGAACCAGATGCCGGTAACACAAGTCAAATCTGTCGGAACCATGCCACTAAAAAGTACAGAGTTGAACTTCAGGCATGGCTGGATCCAGGAGCTCATGGGCCGCTCTCTCTCAGGCCATGGGGTTCATTCCCAGGAAGTCTCTTTTGTGGGGTGGCCCCCCCCTATTCAGTCAACAGAGAAGCGTGAACCCATATTTGCCAGTCCACCCCTCTCTCCACCTGCCAGCTTAAGCACAAGCCTCAGACAGGCTCTGATGGGCTCAGCTTGCATCACACGTGCTCATCCTTTAGCCAATCATTATGACTAAGTGGTTAGAGCCCTGATTGGCCAGACCTACGGTGCATTGCCCCTCCAAGACCGAGTACATGGAGTGGGTGGGAAATATGTGTACATGGAGTGCCCCAGGAATATAGGGAAGTGGTTTCCACAGGAGAGGGATGGGATGCTGAATGGACCAAGTGTCACCTTGAGTGAGGTCTGAGGCTGGCCAGATGCCCACTGGCTCCCTATCTTGGGCGTCTTGGCTGGGGCAACTGGCTATCCCATGGGTTGTGTGCCCCCAGATGCTGGTATATATGTTCTACGTCCTGCCCTTCTACTACCTGGCTGTCTATGCCCTCATCTTCCCTGGCTGCTCCTGGCTGCCGGACTGGGCCCTGGTGTTTGCTGGAGCCATCGGCCAGGTGAGACAGAGGGATGGACAGCCATGGAGGGGGGGTGATATCTGGCCGCCCACCACATGCTTTTATGCTGATGTCTGTGTAAGGTAAGGTGATGCTGGACCTCCTGGAGGCCTAAGCCTCGGCATAGCCCCTGAAGGGTGCTTAGTCTTGGCAAGACAGAGCCAGCGACACCCTCAACTCATGGGGTCAGGACTCAGGAGAGGGAAGGACAGGCATTGATGAGGGGAAGCCAGAGGAAAGGGGCTTGACATTGATGTATGTGTAGGAGTTCTCTCAGCAGGGAAGGGCATTCCAGGAGTGGAAAAAAACAAGAAAGTCACAGAGAGGGTCATCCCTGGGAGAATGCAGAGATGAGACAAATTGGCAGATAGATGCTGAGAGCTTGGAACTCGGCTTAGGGATTTATGCAGAGGCCACTGGAGAGCCAGGGGAGTTGTTTGAGCAGGAGAGAGCCCATCTAAGCAGAGGCCCATTTCTGGGTTTCCAGTAGGAAGTAATAAAACCTGAGATCAGACTAGGGCTTGGGGACACGGAGGATGTTAGTAGGGTCAAATTGACAAGAATTGGATCCCGGATTTCTGAAACTTGGCAGCTTGGCCTGGGGAGGAGGAACTAGTCCCAGCACCACCGAGCAGGGTGCTTCAGGGCTGGTAGGGTGAACGTGCTTCTTTCTACCCAGGCAGCTGGGAAGAGCACTGGCAGAGAGAGGTGAACAAGGACGGACAGGCAGGCGAGAGCAAGTGGGCCAGGGGTCTTTCACAGATAGGTGGGAAGGAACTAGAGAGAGGAGGCAGATGCCCTGAGGGCCCTGCTGCCTCCTGGGAGACCCCAGAGTAGCTTGTCAGTGATATTGGCCCTGCCCTGCCCCTGACATCACTTCTCTCCCTCTGTCCCTAGGCACAGTTCTCACACATGGGTGCCTCACTGCACCTGCGCACACCTTTTACCTACCGTGTGCCCGAGGATGCCTGGAGCTGCTTCTTCCTGTGCAACTTGCTCTATGCCTTGGGCCCCCACCTACTGGCCTACCGCTGCCTGCGGCGGCCCGCCTTCTTCCTGCGCCCACCGCCCTCTGGCCCCCTGGCCCACCACAAGAAGCAGCAGTGAGGGGCTGCCCCGGACTTGGTTTATCTGTCCAGCTAGCCCTGGCTCAGGAAGGTTGGGGTGGGTTTTCTAGGGATGGAAGGGATGTCTCCAGGGGTCTTTGGGCCTGGCAGTGGTGATTTCAAGCCTGCAGGAGAGATGGGAGACCAGGGGACCAGGTGTTCCCACAGAAGGGTCACGCTCAGTGGTGACAGCACCACAACCCCACAGCATGCTCATCTGCCCCTTCCCAACCAGCATCCATCGTCTCATTAATAATAAAGCCCTTTTTATCAACAAAGTGTCACTGCCTGAATGTCTCAGGGTGTAAGGGTGAGGGGACCCTCTCCTTAAATCCGGGGAGGCCCCCCCTCATCCCTACCAGCATGAACATTGGGAGCTGGAGGTCCCGAGATGGCAGAAGTCTGCCTCTAGTTGGCATACTCAGCTTCATCTTCCGATGGAGAAACTGAGGCCCGGAGGAAATGAGAGACCCGCCTTATTGAGAAAGAAGGGTCTGCAGACCCCGCTACATCCATAAATTGTAACAAATAATCAGGCACAGTTAGTCAGCGCCTACCCTAGACCAAACGAAGAGCCCTGGTGGTCTAGTGGTTACACATCTGGCTCATAACTGCATGGTCAGTGGCTCAAAACCACAAGGGGCTCCTCGGGAGAAAGGCAGGGCTTCCTACTCCTGTAAAGAGTTACAGTCTCAGACACTCATAGGGCCAGTTCCACCTTGTCCTACAGGGTTGCTGTGAGTGGGCATTGACTCAATGGATGGCAGTGAGTTTGGTTTCTGTTGGTACGCTATACCATGCCAAAGATGGGGCTCATATGCTATTCCTTGGATCTCACCCCATTTTCCAGATGGGAAAACAGGCAGAAGGCAGGTCAAGTCCTGCTTCTTGCATGTGACTGAGCTGGGGATCCAACCCAAACCTGTCCCACTATCCAGACCATAATTTTGCCTCTGCAGTTTGGTTGGCTCTTTCTCACTTAAGGGGATGCAAGGCTTGGAAAGGCAGCTGTGGGGTGGGGGTAGCTCACTGTTTCCTTTGGGTGAGGAACCAAGTTCAGAAGTCAAGGGCTTGCCCAGGGTCCCCCAGTACCTGTGGCTGGTTAGCTACCCTGCTCCCTGACTCCACCCATATTTGTTAGGCACCTACTATATACGAGGGGGTACCCAAAAAGAACCGGAATTGCGCTGGACAGAGCAGAGCTTTCGTAGTACACATCCTCCCAACCCATACAAACGCTAGGCAAGCATTGAGCAACTTGCTCTGAGTTAGTGCACCCAGTGGCATCACCTGGGGATGTTCTCTCTGGTCACGGTGAATATGTTTGTAAAAGCAGTTTCACCAGAACCTTGGTGTGTGTGTGATGGCCAATTTAAGAGAACAGCATGCGGCTGTGAAATTTTGTGTCCTGCTCAGGAAAAATGCCTCAGAAACTGTAGTGATGTTGGACACAGCATACAAGGACAGCGCTATGGGAAAAACTCAAATGTGCAAGTGGTTTTCTTGTTTCAAAAAAGGTGAAATACCAATTGATGACAAACCTCATTCTGGATGTCGGTCAGCTTCCCTAATGGACGAAAATGTTGACTTGTAGTGCACGATGTCAGACTGTCAATCAAGCTTTCTATTTAGAGGGTCTGAAAAGATTGTGTAAAAGAGTGTGACAAAAAAAGCCTGATTTGTGGCAGATGGGGACTGGTTTTGCCACCATGACAATGTATCTGCTCACACAGCCATCTCAATGCACCAGTTTTGGGCAAAAAACAGCATGCCTCTCTTGCCCAGGCACCTTGCTCACCTGACCTCACTCCATGTGACTTTCTTTTTGTTTCCGTGAATGCAGAGGCACATAAAAGGACAATGATTTGACAATGTAGAAAAGGTCAAGAAAAAAATGAGGAAGGTGCTGTCAGCTATCCAAAGAGATGAGTTCGAAAAATGTTTCCAAGAAAAGAAAAATGTTTCCAAGAATGAAATCCCAGATTTGACAGATGTATTAAGTGTAATGCAGAGTACTTTGAAGGTGATAAGGTTGTTTTGTAAAAAAAAAAATTAAATACATAGCTTTGAAAATAAAATTCTAGATTTTGGGGGCTACCCCCTCGTATAACTAAGAGGAGCCCTGGTGGTATAGTGGTTACGCGGTGGACTGCCAATCACAGGGTCAGCAGTTTGAAACTCCCAGCTGCTCTGCAGGCGAAAGACAAGACAAGGCCTTCCACTTCAGCAAAGAGTGACCGTCTCAGAAACTCACAGGGGCAGTTCTACCCTGCCCCATACGGTTGTTAGGAGTCGGTTGATGGATGGCAGTGAGTTTGGTGTTAGTTTATGTATCCAAGAGTCCTGGTGGCATAATGATTTATGTGTTGGGCTGCTAACTGTGAGGTCAGAAGTTCTAAGCCAACAGCAGCCTTGTGGGTGGAGGTAGAGTCTGGGGATGGGGCTGGAGGGTGGCAGGGAGGGAATGAGGCTTTCTACTCCCATAAAGATCTCGTCTTGGACGCTCACGAGAGCAGTTCTAACCTGTCCTATAGGGTTTCTGGGAGTTGGAATCAACTTGATGGCAGTGAATGAATGAATGAGTTGCTTTATATTTAGGAAGGAGCCAGCCCTGGTGGTGCTGTCCTGTAAGCAATGGGCGTCTAAGCAGGAGGCTGGCAGTGTAAACCTACGAGCCACTCTATGGGAGAAAGATAAGGCTGTCTGCTCCCGTAAAGATTTACAGCCTCAGAAACTTTTATGGGGTGGCTATGAGTCTGGACTTGATGGCAGTGGATCTGGGATGTATCTAGGAGCCCTGGTGGTTCAGTGCTTAAAGCACTAGCTGAAAAGTTGGCAGTTCAAACCCAGCCGCTGCTCCATGGGGGGGAAGATAATGACCGTGGGATGCCCTAAAGATTACAGCCTTGGAAACCCTGAGGGGAGGTCCTACTCTCTCCTTTCACTCGCCTCCACTGTGTAGATGCTGACTTAGAGTGACCCCACTGTAGGGCAGAATAGAACTGCCCCGTGGGTTTCTGAGACTGTAACTCAGTGGTTCTCTACCTTCCTAACGCCGTGACCCTTTAATACAATTCCTCATGTTGTGGTGACCCCC